TGGTGGCTCATGCCTGTAATCCTAGCTACTCAGGAAGCTGAGATCTGAGGATCACAGTTCAAAGCCAGCCCCGTCAGGAAAATCCGTGAGACTTTTATCTCCAATAAACCACCACCAGAAAACCGAAGTGTCGCTGTGGCTCAAGTGGTAGAGCACTAGCCTGGAGCTGAAGAGTTGAGGGACAGCGCCCAGGCCCAGAGTTCAAGCCCCATGACAGAAAAAAAAAAAAAAAAGAAACCTGTCAAATTAATCAAATAAGCAAGTTGGGAAACTCCTTAATTCATTACCATGTTTTTCATGCACCTGGTCTAACCATTTAGATAAATAAAGCAATAAATACTAATTGACTAAATGAAGCTAACATTCTCAGGTATAGATAAGTTACTAGCCAAATATAAAATGATTTGATGTAATTATATATTTTAAGGACTTCAGTCTACACATAACACAATCTAATCCTTACGTATGAACACAGGGCTGTAGAAATGAGTACACTACCTCAGCTTGCTGCTAATATTTTAAAATGCTTTAGACTAGACAAACAGGAATCATCACAGAAATGCATTTTTCTCAGAACGAAAACCTATTTTTCGGCTGGGTCCCAGTGGCTCATGGTTGTAATCCTAGCTAATCAGGAGGCTGAGATATGAGGATCATGCTTCAAAGCCAGCCCCCATGAGACTCTTATCTCCAATACCACTCAGAAAACCAGAAGTGGCACTGTGGCTCAAGTGGTAGAGCACTAGCCTTGAGCTGAAGAGCACAGGAACAGCGCCCAAGCCCAGAGTTCAAGCCCCTTGACTGACAAAACAACAACAACAACAAAAACTATTTTTCCTCCACAAAGCAGGCGATTTTCTACCCTTAAATATGTATCTATCCATTCCAGAGCCTGAATCTTCTCTCAGTACTCAGAAGCTGAGGTGAGTCTCTCTTATGGTGTAGCCCCTAAATATCCCCTGACGGCCTAGGTGAACAGTTTTGCCACCAGACTCCAGTGCTGCAAGAAGATGGTAGAAGTTTTAGGAAAAGGTCTAGTGGAAGGAAGTTTGGTATTAAGAACATGTACTTTGGCGGCAGTGGAAGGAGGGGGGGAGCAAGGAGTTGGGGAGGTGGGGAAGGAAGTGATGGTAGGGGAAAAACAAAAGAGGAGGTAACAAAGAGGAGGAAATGTACTCATGACCTTACTCATGTACCTGTAACCCCTCTGTACAGTATTTTTACAATAAAAACATACAAAAGAAGGAGCATGCACTTGAAAAGATACAGGGTATCCCCACCCCTACCTCTGTTTTTCCTTTCCAGCCACCACAAACCTAACAGCTTTGTTCCACTCTTTACTCCCATTACGATGCTCTGTCTCACCAAAGGCAGTGAAGTCAACTGCACAGGGGAAGCTCTGAAAGTATGAGGCACAAGAAACTTTTCCCTCTTTAAGTTGGTTTCCTCAGGTATTTTGTCACAGTGATGGAAAACTGACTAATAACCTTCTTTAATTTTTTTTTGGAGGGGTCCAGTCGTGGGCCTGAACTCTGGGCCTGCGCTGTCCCTCAGCTCTTCAGCTCAAGGCTAGCGCTCTACCACTTGAGCCACAGCGCCACTTCTGGCTTTTTTCTTTTTGCGTATGTGGTGCTGAGGAATCGAACCCAGGGCCTCGTTCATGCAAGGCAAGTGCTCTAGACTGAGCCACCTTCCCAGCCCAGCCTTCTTTAATTTTAAAATCAACAATCCTGTTGTGCTTTTTCCGGAACTTGCCTCCTTCCCAGTTAGTAGTGAATATTTTATATTCTCTATTATGTATCTTGTATTATGTATCTGCAAACAGGCCCCTCTTACCATCCTTCAACTTGTCTTTCCTTGCTAGGTAACTTCCATTGGATAGAAGTAAGCTCATGTTCTTTTCATTTTTCAACTATTGCTATGGTTTGAATGACTCCGTAAAACTTTTGTTGGAATTCAGTTGGTGATGTGATAGTACTGTGAGGTAAAGCCCTCAAGAGGTGATTCAGTCCTCAATCACCTAAGAATGGACTAATGCTATTGACCCAGGACTGGCTCTCTTGTAAAATGAAGTTCTCCCTATTCCTTCTCACCCTCTTACCATCTGATTCCCTCCATCACGTTGCCTCCCTACTCCATGCAGTCCCTCCACGTTAGCTTTCCAGCCTTCAGAACTATAAAAACTGAGCTAATTATCTTTATTAACTACCCCTTCTCTGGTATTCTGTTACAGCAATAGAAAATGGATTAAGACATTTACCCTTGGATTATCCATGGTGCAGTTCAGGATGTGTATATGTATACGTGTTTATCGGTGTTGTGATATGTGTATATGTATGCAGGTGGCATGTATGTATATTTGGTATATGTTACGCAGTGTGTATATGTGGTGTGGCCAGCATCTAGGTGTGTGTTCTGTGTGTATATTGTGTGGTATACATATGTGCATGCTGTAGAAAGTGTATGGACAATGTGTGGTGCAGTATAGATGTGGAGTGTGTGTGTGTGTGTGTATGGGTATGCATGTGTGGTATATATGTGTACTATGTTTGTATATATTAACTTTTTAGCAATAATAACTTTACCTAAAAATTATACTTCACTTCTGGAATATTTACACAGGTGGAGCTGTGATAGAATATGAGAAGCAACTAATAATGCTCCTGAAATATCAGTGCTGTGACTATTGCTCAGAAATTGTTACAATGAAAATTGGAACATAGTATTATCCCCCAGAGGTAAGAGTATCTCTTTTTGTTTGAAGAGCATGAAGTTATAAGAAAGTTATAGTTGTAGAGAAATTCAAGTATATGTGCCGGGCGCTGGTGGCTCACACCTGTAATCCTAGCTACTCAGGAGGCTGAGATCTGAGGATCATGGTTCAAAGCCAGCCTAGGCAGGAACATCCATGAGAAATTCAAATATGTGTAAAAAAGTGTGTATATGCCAACTATCCCAAGAAGTGAATTATGCTACTTATTAAACAATTAAAAGCCAGCCTCTCTTTTGCTTTGCCAGGCTGGGTTGATCCTCTGCAAAGCATATTTACTGTATAAAAATCTTGTGAAATTCTACACCTAGGGGAGCTAGAAAGAGGACTGAGGGAAGAACAAGGAACTCAATGCTCTTTTGCTTTTCATTCTTGAAATCATACCACTCAGAGGCAGTTTGCCAAATTACCAGGATGTTAACAACATTCTTAGAACCAGACATCGATTATCTGGCTATAGATCCTTCTACACACACTTGAATTCCCATCTCTAGTATGTGACATCTGACTTTGCAAGGCCCTCATTAAGTATCTGAGAAACTACTACCAACCTCTTGAGAGCTCAGCTTTTCAGGATCCTCATTTCAACACATCTAGTTCTCTTTCTACTCTCCTGAACCAACTGTGGTTGAAATCCCCACTACTTCCACATTACCAAGTCCACAAATATAAATCAGACCTTATTATGCCTTTCTACTATATATAAAATTGTTAACCTCTCAACTTCTTCCACTTCTAGAAAACATTATTCTACATAAATATTTTATGGTTCATTAAGACATTTCTGGAGGGCAAATTGGCAAACGTTTTAGAAATCGTTCTGCTACTATGTATTCATTGAATCAACAGTTTTTAAACATTTGGGTGAACACGGAGTTAAAACCAGAGGTAAACCTATTAAGACACAGTAACTGCTGTGTGTGTTTACTTATTAAGTGGTAGGCCACATAACCTGACTCTAAAATCTACCATATTAGCTTCTCTAATGGGCATTTTCAAACTTGAACTCCATCAGAATTACCTGGTAAGCATGAACTCACAAGCCCCAGGGCCAGAACTGTAGATTTACTAGTTCTCTGGTCAAGCTAACTGCAATTTCTATCAAGTTTCCCAGTGATGCTGACTCTGCATAAACTATTCCACTACACATTTTTTTAGCTCCCTAAACAACCTTGCCTCCTGTTTCTTCTCACCAGCTGGGCTAGATCACCCATCAAGGCTCCCACACCAATATTACACTCTCTCTAAACAGCACGTGTCACTCTCCATACCAGTAGCCACTGAAACAAAAGCCTGGTACATGTCTGTCTCAAATACTAACCTGTGTGCACCTCAAAAGAAGACAGCATAACTATTAGTCTTTGTAGTATAATACAAAATTTATCATTGTGTAACTATTTTAAGTGTAAGCTGAAGCTACATTTTTGATACATTTGAATCTTTGTATAAACATCATCACTATTCAATTCAAACTGAAACTATAAACAAATTAAGCAATGATGCATTTCCCCTCCTCCAGCATCTGATAACCATGACTCTAATTTCTATCTCTATGCAAATTCATTTGGAGAGCTTGGTAACACATTTCTCATCAATGCTATAATCGTAAGCAAACCCCAGAGTGGAAGTCTCATCCATCTTAAGCATCCATTAAAACTAATGAGAAATAACATTAAAGAGTTAAAATCTTAAATGAACATTTTTTGTTGGAGTTAAAAGAAAGTTTTACTCTGTTACCAGGTGCAATTACAAGTATATACTTGCTTGAAATTGCCATACTGGATTTCTGCTGAGAGAGATATAATATTTTTCAAGTATATGTAAATATTTATATTTTCAAGTTAATAAACACCTCAGTTAGATATGAAGATATCTAACTGGAAAAAAATAAATATAAAACAAAATTTTCTACTCAAATATCAAGGACCCTGAATTGAGTTCACATTTCTTACAGACTACGTGTTCATAGCTATGATATCTTACTTCTAGAATCAACCAACGAAAAAAGAGGAAACTAATGGAAAAGAATATTGTATAAAAACATACAAGCCACTCTCTATAAATGCCCATAAATACAGCAGGATATGGGAAATGCAGGAACAATGGAGGTTTCGTAATCCAGTTCTATATATGGAAACACTTGTGACTTCTTTCCCAACTCTCCTCACCCTCACCTCCCAAAAAAGAAAATTATGAATAGTAGAAATAGCCAAATTAATTTGGTACTTACAAAGTATATGAAAGATTGACTTTAAGGTCACCATTCTTGCATGAATTTTTAAACAATGACTCCATAGAACAGATGAATAATGTTAAGTCTCCTTTCATCCAGCACTGTATGTTCCAGTTTGCACCTGAATTGAAAACAAACATTAAATTCAAAAAATGATTTTGAACAACTCAGTGAAAGAGAAGAGCTAAATTGAATTTATCAGTGTTCCCATACAACTCCTACTGCCCATTCTGGGAGGAAATACAGCAAGCTCTAACCGTATGATGTTTGCCCAAGTCATTTCCTCAGTTTCCTATTTTGTAAGCCAAAAAGCAATTAATGAAATTCTTGCTTCACAAACTTGTCTTTAGTCCAAAATTACCTAAATTGAACAAAAGATCTCAAAATTCATCTAATTCAATTCACTCTCACTTTTTCAGATTAAATACTAAAGAACAATCAAATCAAGAGATATAGTTATATCTGACTTAGGAAATAAAAGTACAGTGAATAATTCAAATATGAACTGTGACGTACATCTTAAATTTTCATAAGCATAACACAATGGGCCCCATATACAACTGATGGAAATGCAGTTCCCTGAACACTGAAAATCTTACCAGATATTGGTAAATATAAATCATAAGTAATTCATCATTTACAAGGCAGAGGTTAAAGGTCATGACTAACAAGACAAAGCCAGAAAGATTTCCATCTATAGGGACTTTGTAACATCGTAAACAACCTACTTGGAGGGATAAATAAGTTAAAATCCTCAGTAATTTGGTCACAAACCTAAGCCCATTCAGTTATTGGCCCTCCTTTATAATACAAATTCAAAATATATGATATCATAATCATTCCTTTTCATAATTGAAGAAAAGGCTAATACAGTTTACCATTTCAAGACTCAACACTAATAATGTCTTTGTTTACTTAATGATCCTTAGATTGGCTAAGTGTCCCTACAAATCTTATCATATTTTATTTCTGTATGAGGGCTTGAACTCAGGGTCTGGGTGCTGTTCCTTAGCTTTTTCACTCAAAGCTGGTGCTCTAATACTTCAGGCACAGCTTCTCCACTTCCGGCTTTGGGGGGTTAATTTGGAGGTAAGAGTCTCACAGACTTTTCTGCCTAGGCTTCTTACAATCATGATCCTCAGATCTCAGCCTCCTGATTATTTGTAATTAAAAGTTTGAGCCACTGGTACCCTACTTCCCTACAAGTTTTTAGAAGATTCGTTTAAAAGAAATGTAATGTCTATGAACTGAGTTGAAATCTCTGAGAGTTATTCCTACTAACCTAATTTTAAAACCTAACCGTATTCTGTTTCTTAAGTTTCATCCTTATTCCTAATCTGATTTCAACATGCTGGAGAATTCCTGTCATCTAGTCAATAATGTTGAGACCTTGTGAGACTTTCAGGGACATATAGAAATATGAGGGGGGTTGTTTGCTTTTTTCTTTTTGGAAACAGAGTCTTGCTATGTAGCCTGGGTTGGCCTGTCACCCTGATCCTCCTGCCTCAGCCTCCACAGTGACGTCTGGACAGCCACCACTGTGCCCAGCTGGAGATATTGTTTTAATTAGAATTGAGGAGAGAGGGCTGTGAGCAACCTGTAGAGGCCAGAGCTGCGATTAAGCAACCCACTCATAGATTAGCCCCCTAAAACCAAGAATCCAGACCAAAATGTCAATAGTGATTAAATTTACGTGTCTACTTTCATATAGTAGGGTACACTAGATGATGGAGGCAAATTGACTCTGCTCTATGAGTTGGGAACAATTTTTGCTTATACTTTCAGATTCAGATTTCTTAACTAAAGAAGGTACATTTAGAATGCATTATACCTAAAATAAGAATTAAAATCCTTGATTTAAAATATTTAGTTTTAGAGAGATTTCCTATTTGAACCAATCATTACTATTTTTCAAGGGTGTTTTAATATTTAAGTATTTCAGTAGTATTATCAGTAATATAATATTTTACTTATATAATAAGAATATAGCATCTCTATTCTCTCTCAAAGGAAACTGAGAAGTCTATGAGAAATGTACATAAATGTAAATACAGTTTCCTCATTGCTTTTTTATAGGATATAAATGATTCGGGCTTTATTTTTTGATCACCTGATGCATCCTAATTTTATGACCAATAGTAAGTGATAACATTTTGTTATTTTGTTATCATTTAGGATAACATATCCATTAAGATATTTATCTCATAAAAGTTGCAGAAAATTAAAGACGTTTGTTCAATACAGATAGAGCACAAGAGTTGATCCTTAGGACATTACTTACCTAGTTGTTGCAAAACTGAAGAATTTGTTGTTGAATCCACTGCTTTCCTTTCAATGTTGTTCATACCTGAAGAGCAGTTTTTATCTTGCCCACTCCCAAAGTAACAATAGAGAGTTGTGTTGGATCCGTCAGAGATGTAGGCACCACTAGATTTAAGCCCATCTTCATCAGTTGCCTCATAGTCTACACTCATATTTGATGTGTTCTTTAAGATTCCATCAGGCAAGAGGATGCAGTTGTTGGTTACATTTTGTGGCATGCAGAACAATTGAAATTTCCAGGGAGTTACTGGATATGCCAAATTAAATGCAGTTATCGCGTAAAGAAATTCTGTTAGGATAGCAAAAAGATAAAGAAAAGGAATCATTTTGACTAAAATGTAATTAGAAACAATCTGATATAAAAGCATGTTGTACTCTGTGACACTTAACCTTCCAGTTGCTCAATCAGTGCCCAATGAATAGGTGCATGGTTACATCATAGTATGCATTATTGACCGAAAAAACTCCATCGGCAGCTCCTTTTGAAAATGCACACATATTTTTTTCCTTATTAAGCTAACATATTTACATTTTTGGAAAGAAAATTAACACTAAATCTTTTGGCCTTTCTTTCCTAAAGTAAAATTACGTTAACTTACAGAATAACTGGGAAATGTGCAGATGTGTTTTATTTATTTATTACAATACTGTGGTATAAACTCAAGATGTTAACTTGGTAGGCAGGAGCCCTACTAGTTGAGCCATATTCCTAGTCCTTTCTTACTTTTCAAACAGGGTCTCACACTTTTCCCCAGAATCAATCTGAACTGTGATCCTCGTACCTATGCCCCTGCCCAGCAAGAAATATAGGTTTCTGCCACATATCAAACTTAATCCCCATCCTATTCCCCAGCTGCCCTCAAACCACAATCTTCCCAAAGTCCATTTCCCCAGTAGCCGGAATCAGACATGTACTACCACCTCCAGCTCTAGATATACAATTACATAAGTAAACATGAAAGTGTTCTTATATTGATTAAAGAGATTAATAAGTTAATATTGTTTCATTGAACACTTTTGGAGAGAGTTTATTTTTGACTCAAGAAAACTAGTCTCCCGAATCTACCCAGAATGTTCCGGGTAGAAGATATAACATATGACATTATGTAGGACATTCCCTAACTCACTCTCCAAAAAACTATGCAAATAGACCTCTCCTGGAGACTTTGAGTGCAAATTCTGTTTCAAATGTAAAGACCAGTGATAAGGTAAAACCCAGAACTCAGCATTAACTGATCTCCCTTTCTTTCTAGATGCATGGGAAGATGAATAAACACGGATATCAGCATCTCTGAATAGATCCACCTGAGCAGGTGACTGCGTCACATTGGCATGACGGTGTGCTCTGCTTGTGATTGGAAGCTCTGAAGCTCTACTTGGCATTTTCTTTCCTCCAAGGAGGGCTCACCATTCAAACGTGACCAATCTGATCAAATATTGTGGGTCCCGCTTACTTACAGAGGGTCATCTTTGTCTGAATCCAATGGCTATTGGAGGGTTTTGTTATTTGGCAAGGGGAAGGGAGTTCCTGGCTTTTTATTCTTAATAGTCCTTAAACAATGTTCATGAAGAGAATGAATACTTAGAACTGTGCCTCCAATGATGTAGGACAGTATGTCATTATACATTTGTCAAAAATCAACCACTGTGTGAGAGTGAACCCCTGTGTAAACTAGAGACTTGGGATGATAATAACCTATCACCATAGGATTGTTTACTGTGCCATTATAGTGGGGGATGAAAACATCAGAGGAGGCTATAAATATGTGAAAGTAGGAAATGCATGGGAAATCACTACACCTTCTTTGAAATCTTGCTGTGATTTGCAAAATAAGGTCTATTAAAAATGAAAGGAAACAAATTAGAAAAGAATCAATTCGTAAATGTAATTTTATAACAGGAAAGGAATACATGTAAAAATATTTAAATGATGTACAGGTAATGATCAGTATTCCATTTCTAAATACTTCTATACGTATAGATTAATATAAATATATACAGATGCAAATATTAAAACCAGAAATCAACCTATCACTGTTGTGCTCTTGATTAGGAAAATTAGACATTGTGACACCACCCAAAACCAATCCTTATTACCTCCATGTTTCTTTGGACTTCAATTTTGACATATCTTTCTAAATCTGCTACCAAAAGGTATTATTCTTTTTAGCTACACATGGAAGGTTCATTAAAATGAATTAAAATTAGCTTAAAATTCTAAAGGCATTGAAATCTAAAATGAAAAGATAAACTTCATACCCAGCAATACTTGAGTCAGGATGATTTAAAAATAACCATGTTGTTTACATATTTCCTTTGTAACTGATGTTTCTTTCACTCAGAATGAACCCTAAACAGAAAGCGGTTTAAACCTTCATTTGAAGGCATATGTTTCAAGTATCAGATAATACACAATCCCTCTTCTAATTTATAAGACAGTGGAGCTATCTTAGGTATTTTCTGTAGAGATGCATATGGCTTCAATGAGAAAGAGTGGATTGTACAGGAAGAATCATAGGGAAGCATATTATATGAACACCTTGAATTGAAGTAGCAGAAGAGATAGATCAGAACTAGTGGACACAGAAGTAATAGATGCCAGATAAAGTAAACTTTATTAAAGATGACCTGACTTTAATTCCAAAACGTTGGAAGTAAAACTAAATTAGATGATTCAAATTTAACAAAATCAGAGCTTGGTATTTAACTCAATAAGAGAAAGAACAATATGGCGCAACATGACTCTCCAGTGGTCAATCCCATGCAGAAGTCTACAAGAAATGCACATAAAGACAGTTTTTATTAGGAATTATTTACTACTTTCATCATCTGATAAATCCTAATTTTATTAATTTAATTATTGTTTTAATGTTTTTATTTCAGTACTTGCACTTAAAATCCTGGCCTGGTGCTCTTGACTGGCTTTTTTGCTCAAGAGTGGTACTCTATCACTTGAGCCACACTTCCAGCTTTTTGCTGACTCATTGGAGATAAGAGTCTCCTCATTATTATGATCACAAACATTTTTAATCATAAATGCGTATGGGATTTCCTAACCAGAAAAAGGAAATTATGTTAGCCAATAGAAGAAATAGCAGCTTGAGGGTAAAATTTCTACTTTACATTGGCATTATAATAGTAAACGACTTACCCCAATGTAAGAAAATCACATAGTATTTTTGCCAGGTCATCTTACTGCAGAGATGTGCACCTGAAAAAACAGTATATCAGAAACAGAATATCATACATGTAAAAACCCAGTGTGCACACTACATCAGGCAAAAAGGGGAAAGGTTATAAGTAAGTCCTTAAATTTTAATCTTATAATATCAATATTGATATTGACTGATATCAGGGAAGTATTTCACATTAAATTGTAAGATATAGATTTATTGCTATGCACATGTTATATGACACAGTAAAAAGTCAAGCCACATAATAAAAAAAGCACTTGATGGTCTATTATTCCACGCAAACTAGGACAAGTATCAAAGAAAAAGCCTCAACTTTAAACCACGTTCATGTAATAGCTAATTCAACATCATTAATACTGCCAGCTCTATATTTTTACTTTCATGCTCAATGCTTAAGACTTTTATTTAAGATTTTGTCTTTTTTAAGTTTATCATGTGCAGGTTTTATTTATTTGTTTCAGTCATTCAGTGTGTTTACTGTTAGATTTATGGGCACATTCTAGTTACCACAAATGAAGGAAACCATGAGCCTGTTTCTTTCATTCTGGCTTACTTCACTAGATATAATATTATTGATATATATTATTTTCCAATTTCCATTTCCTTACAAATGCTACAATATCATTCTTCTGATGGATGAGTAGAATCTCACTATAATATATATATATATATATATATATATCATATTTTCTTGATCCATTTGTCCACTGGGAGACATCTAGGTTGATTCCATATCTTGACTATGGTAAACAATGTTGCAATAAACATGGTTGTGCGGGTAGCTATAGTTTGGCCTGGTTTGTGGTCCATGGGATAATTCTAGGAGTGGAATTGTTGGGTCATAGGGAAGCTTTATGTTTAGTATTTTAAGGAACCTCCAAACTGCTTTTCAGAACAAGTTTGAACAAGTTTACGTTCCCACCAACTTTGTAACAGGGTTTCCTTTTGGTCACATTCCTGCCAGCATTTGTTATTGTTAGTTTTCCTGATAATGACCATTCTGTCTTTTTATAATATTGCAAACTCAAATGCTTATAGCACTGGTAATTGTTGTATATATATTTCCAACAAAAAGGGAGACATTTTACAAAGTACTGTCAGAAACCTATTAATTATTTAGAGATAAGATAATGTTCACATGGGATAGTTATCAAAGTAGCATAGGGAAGTCTAATATGAATTAATACATCCAAATCCAGGGATCAATTCAGAAATTAGGTTTGCCATAAAAATCTATGAAATATATCACACATAAGATTATTTGTGGGGCTGGGAAGGTGGCTCAGTGGTAGAGCGCTTGCCTTGCATGCTCAAGGCCCTGGGTTCGATTCCTCAGCACCACATAAGCAAAAAGAAAAAAGCCGGAAGTGGCGCTGTGGCTCAAGTGGTAGAGCGCTAGCCTTGAGCTGAAGAGCTAAGGGACAGCACCCAGGCCCAGAGTTCAGGCCCCACGACCGGACCCAAAAAAAAAAAAAAAAGATTATTTGTACTGCTACATCATGAATTAAAATAGCTCTAAAGTTGGACTGTCCTGAGCTTGGTCTTGTACTGAGACCCTATACAATTCTGATGTTTCAGTCTTTTGGGGGGAACACAAATCTATGACAAAAACACAATATCGGATAAGAATCCCTGAATTCAGTATTAGTAGAAACATTGGAAACAAAATCTAGCTCTTGTAATCAGCTCTAGGACACTGTGACCAAATAGATCCGTTTGTATCTGGTTCCTCCTCTACATATCAGATTGTTGGATAATCCCTAAAATCTCCTTTGGGGTTACCTACACTTCTGAGTAATTTTATTTTAAAATAGAAATCACACCTTTATTACAAAAGTTATTTTAAATTATTGAGAAGGATCTGTAACTCATAACAAAGATGGCACCCAGTGATGCCTAAACAAGAAAAGGAGTATGATTGCTTATTTTACAATTTACAAACTCTCAGGGGAAAATGAATGAGCGTGTACAATCTGTAGCCCAGCATAAGCGTTTTCAAACAATCAGTTTTTCATCAGAACTTGGGTCCCTCTTCACTGATGTCATAACATTTCCTTATGATCCTTAGAATTGTGTTTAGTACATAGATGTCTCATGATCTACATGATATAATTGCCTAAAATGTATGCAGATTCCCTGTTTTTTATGGTACTTGTTTCTGATATTAAAAATTTTCCTAACAGAAACCCAAGGGCAGGTTTCATAACTGGGATAATTTACTTAAATAACAATTTAAGTACAAATTACATTTATGCATGTTATTTGAATTCAAATGTAAACGTTTAACAAAATAAATGTGATTCCAATCTAATATCTTAGGCACAACATACCACTGGACTGCTTTGATTAAACTAATGATGTGCAATTCAGTCCTAAAGTCAAGATGGCTCACATTTGACTCAACTTATCAGCCAAGAGGCCAAAGAGATCTGTTGTTTACTTTAAATAAGACAATTGTGTCTTTATTTAATGTTTTAGGCAAAGCACAAGCTATTCTAATCATTAGGATCCTAGCCGACAGGTTCCATTATTTTCAACAAAGCAACAATCATAAATGTAAAATGGGCTCAGATATAACCTTGAAGAGACTATGAAAATGATCTCATACAGCTTCAATGAGGGAGAAATTTATACATACTCCAAATTGTTCCCAAAGCAATATCAGGAGGTTCACAAAAACATTTGTAGAAAACAAATGGCAGAAATTTTTAAACTACAATTTAAAAAAAATCAAGCAAAGTGAAAACTAATAATACAAAATAAAAAATAAGTCTACTGCATCAAGCATCTTTTTATTTGAATATGCTTCATAAAGATGAGCCATAATTTTCTCTAAATTTTCCTGGAATCAAATAAATTTGCAGAGTACTTAATATGAAAGGTATAAATAATCCTAACCCCAAGAATACTTGAGACTCTAATTCATTTCATAAGGTATCAGGTATAGTGTCATAGCTTCGTGGGATATAAAAATTCAACCATTTATCATTCTCTACTGTGAATATCTTATTCTATTCTACCATCATCGCTTCTTTTGACTATCAAAAGAGGCTCTTATTTATTCTCTGCACTTCTGCCCTATTCCCCAATTTAGTCTGTCCTTAAACAGCAGTCATATGATCTCGATACTGCATAAATCAGATCATATAAATATGAATGTATGGGTGAATGATAGCAATGGATAGCAAGGTATGACTCGGGATATCTTCTAACGTGGGCTGATGGCATCACACCAAGACAAAAGTTAATGAAAACAATTCTATTATCCACATAAATGGTTCTTTTATAATCTAGCTTAATACCAAGAAGCACTTCAGAGCATTGATTCTTTTTTTTTTTTGCTTTGCCATATGCATTTTATTTTTTAATATATATATATTTATTTTAAAGACAGAACATTGATTCTTAACTACGTTTGGAACTCTTCAGTTATTACTATTAATATTAAACAAAAGAAAATTCAAAATCAATATTCCAGTAAATGATCATAATATAGATTTTTTTAAAGGAGGTCAAATTGTCTCATTTCCATCATTGATGATTATTTGTGTTACTTTCATTTCTCAAATATTCTTAAATATAAAATTGAGGAATCTCAATCACTCCCCGAACTAGTGTTTATACAGGGAAAAAATTATCCATAGCTTGCTCTAATGGTTTAAAAAGTATCTGAGCCTGTACAAAAGTTTGAGTAAGGAAAGTAGTTCTCATCATTCCATCACCTTGATTAAAAAGTAAAAAAAAAAAAAACAAACAAACTCAAAGAGCCTTATCTGCCACTACTACTTTTTGCATTCTCTCACTGTTAAAGAAACTAATACTTAAATAAATTTAAGTACAAGTTAAATTTATGCTTCTTATTTAAATATAAATGCAAGTGTCAACCCTTTAACAAAATTAATGTGGTGCCAATCTAATTCTAACTTATAATTTACTTTTGACTTTTGTACCACTCCTGGGGCTGGAACTCTTTGGCTTTCTAGGGATTAACTGGAGATGAGAGTCTCATGGACTTTCCTGCCTGGACTGGCATTGAACAGCAACTCTTAGATCTCAGCCTCTTAAGTAGCTAGGATTACAGGTGTGAGCCACCTGTAAAAGTTTACTTTTATTTCTCTAGCTAGAATAGAAATTGGTCATGTTTTCCCATCAAGAAGCTATTAAAGAGTTAAATTAATTTTAAAATCAAAAACAAAATCCTCATCCATCACCCTAGCATGAGTATTTCTGACTTTGGAAACGTAATTTTAAGTACTTTCGATCCCAATATGATTTTACTGGTATGATCTTGTGACAAAGTAATTCCTAAAACAATGAAGAAGGATGTTATGACTCATAGACCTTGGTATCATAAAGTCAACCAAGTTGAGTAGTCATTTTATTTAGTCACCTAAATGCTTTATATAAACTAACTTAAATATTTACTAAATGCTCAATCTAAATCACTATAAAAGAAGACATAATAATTAAGAACCTTTAGCTATAAGAAATAACATTATTTTATGATATTTTTACATACCAAAGTATTTTTTACTAATATAAATGAATAAGAAACATCAGATGTAAGATAGCAAGGTGGACAGATTTCCTCTTCCTCCTAAGATAACTTCAGCATAATTCTCAGAAGGAAATGATTTAAATAAAATGTTTTATCTAAACTCTAAATTAATGTCCATAAGGTATAGGACTAAAATATTTAATGAAGAGAAAGTATAAAACAGTTAAATAAATACCTTTTTATTTATTTTTCCCCCAGGCTGAGGACCAAACCCAGGGGCACCAGGCGGGCGCCCTTCCACTGAGCTAAACCCCCAGCCCTAGATATCTTTTTTAATAGTAGAAAAAATGGTGATATGTATTAAAAAATCTATTGGTGCCTAGTATTTAAAAAATTACAACTACTTAGAAAGAAGGATAAGGCATTACTTCTAGTTTGAGATAGCTGATTCCAGAGAGGACATTTAACTTCCCCGTGATGAATGAGGACAAATGTGAAGCACATTCTAAATATTGTAGA